TATATTTTTTACGTTTTCTTACACACCGTAACCCTTTGACCTCTGCCTGTGCCTGTACTGATAATAATAACTGAAAAAGTAATGTCAAAAGATTACGAAATCTAGACACATGAACAACATATTTTTTGGACGCTCCATTGATTATATGAACTGTGTACAACTATGTTTATGAAATATTCTCATTTTTATTCAGAGTATATTCACCCAGACATCACCCAGATGTTAAAGATGGAAACATTAGATTTTTACTGCAAAAAGAATGAACACAGGAAATGCATCAGTAAAAACCCCACCTGTGAATTCTGAAGGCTGTATTGTCTTACAAAAGGCTAACATGTGCTAAGCTAAGACTCTGAGGTCTGTCGGTGACGTTAAATGTCGCACACTGAACACTTAACAAAGTTTAATGTTCGGGCTGATAATTCACTTTTATTTTATATTTCTGCTTTAAGTTAAGTGAACAACTACTTCTCTCTGACTAATAATCATACAATGAAGTGGGATAAAAGGGGGGTAAGTGGGGCCCCACTGCTCATTTTTGCCCTCTCGAGGAGTAATCCGGCCCTGGCTCTTTATGATCCTGCAGATCTGTTCTGAATTAACTCTGACACATGGATGAAATGTGTCCTTCTCTACCTGTTTGGAAAAGACGGCGATGTCCTCGTTGAAGGAGTCCGAGGAGCAGACGTCTCCCCCGGCCACGCCACTCTCTCTTGGCGTGCAGGTCGCCAATTCACATTTTTCAAAGATCAGTGCGAGCAGAGGGAATAAAGGATGTCTGCAGGAGAGAGAGAGAGAGAGGAGGGTTCAGCTCCGACTGCAAAACTAACAAGTTTCCTGCTGCCTCAAACTTTTCTAAAAATAAAGAAAAGAAACTTCAGGTAGCAGATTTAGAATAATCACCTTCAGAGCACTTTTGTAGATGAGAAAAACAAAATGTATTGGATTATTTCATTAAATTTCAAAACAAAACTACATAAAGTACTGGTGGAACTGGTTCTTGCAGCATGAAAATTATTACAGTTAAAAAAGTTTCCGTTATCCTCACTTTCTCTGGATAATCCGCAGAGGTCAACGGCTTTCATAGAGACTATTTCTTCAGTGGAAAGTTTACTCAAACACATTGGTGGAAAGCAAACATTGTACTACTGTCTGTACGACACAACCAGATTGAAGCAAGAACATGTTCAAATCTATAATCTGCAATGAAATGCAAAGCAGGTGCTCCTGATACACGGTTAAATAAAGAAAAACCTTCTTTAGTTATTGTGGCTACATTATTAAGTAGATACTAAAGTATCTTAATATCATAAATAAATTAGAGCTAGGATTGAATGTTGTGTGCAGATTTTTTTTGCTTCCATTTTAATGCATTCAGAGATTTCATTTTAATTGAAGGAAGTTATTTGACATCCACCAGTCTGTTGTTAGCTTCCAAATGAAAGGAGTTGCCATGTTGCACTGTTAAAAGTGTAGTCAAGGTAAAGCCTACATAAAGAGAACAGAAATGATCCCAGAATTGAACCCTGAGGCACTCCAAGCTGTTTATAACATGGAGGGATCAAGAGCAGAAACGAGTGGGACCAAGTCCTGTAACTGTAACTTGGACAGGCAACCCACCAGGAAACATGACTGGAGTTCTCTGATTATTAGCAGCAATTTGATTATTGAGCCCATGGCAACTATTTTCATATTTCACTATTTTTTAAGCTAAAAAGTGAAACATTTGCTGGTTTTAGCTTCTTAAATACAACTTTTCTTTTTTTATACAGTAAACTAAATAATTTTTGTTATTTTTATTATTATTATTATTATTATTATTATATGAATTATTTGTACTGTACTGATAAAACCAAGCAGAAACCTCTGTGGCTACAAAATGAAGCAAAGACTGAAGTAACAAAACCTACAGTTCCTCTAACGGCCACTAGAGGCTGGCTCCAGCAGTGAGTCAATCTCCATAAAGCCCCATATTAAAATGTCCACCTTTATGTTTACAGCCTGGTACAAAAAACACAGTTGGTCTTTATAGCTAAATTCCTCGTTTATGACGACTGTACGGTGGGGGAATTTTTACTCACCTGTTTAAATTATATTAAGGTTTAAAGTTATGCATAATTAAGGGCGTGGCCGCATTGAGTGACAGGTGGTTTCAGTAACCAAGCCTCAGCTCCACCCACGCTCCACCTCTTTGCCCATTTTTGGATTAGCTGGGCGCCGGTGGAGTCTGGACCACCGAGGTGGCAACAGCCAGAGCCGACCACACTGAGCTTCACAAACCTACGGGCGATGTCACGGCGACTACATCCATTTTTTATTCATACAGTCAATGGATAAAACAATCTGAAAATGGGCATGAATTACCATTTTCAGACATTTTACAGACACAATAATTATTAATGAATTGAGAAGATAATCGTAGATTAATCAGTTATGAAGTGATTAAAGGTGAGTTGATTTGACAACGTTTTTACAGTGCCGCCGTATGCCAGAAGCAACAAATACAGCAACTGTGTCTGCTGACGGAGCAGAATGGATCCTGCTGCTCTGACAGTCAAATAACCACAACTACTGATAATGTTTACTGGTAAATCGTGTTTTTAAAGCAGGGATCTGTCAGACGTTTGATACAGGAGCCGACCACAGAGGCTGAACATAATAAATCTTATTAGAGAGACAGGAAGCGTCACATGACCTTTGCTCTAAACTCGTCTGCTGCAACATTGAACAGTTGCTGCACTTTTTCTACAAGGGAATAAAATTGATAAACTTCACTGCATCCTGTAGTTGGAGCAGCAGTGAATCTAATACTGCATTTATTTTTTATATATTCTTCTTTAAATGTTTATTTTATGCCACTTTATACTTTTATTCTACTGCATTTCAGAGGCAAATATTGTACTTTTTACTCTATTACATTTATTACTTTGCAGATAAAGCTACTGAATACATAATGAGCCTACATACATGGCTACAGGTTAAGCTATAAAGATAAATTAGCTCAACCTTGCAGGGGCGGATCTATAGGAATATTCACGTGGTGGCAGAAATGTATGCTGATTTAATCACAATCACATTTATTAATATTCGCTTCGAAAAGCCTTTAAAGGAAGATATTTGAACTCAAAAACATTATTGTGGCACATTACAACTGAGGCATTAGAAATCAATACATTGTTTTATTTCCAGATAGATGTATTTTTTTATTGAACCTATCACAATGTGACAGATCAATAAATAAATGTTTTTTAACACATTATTTTTTTAATTAATGAGTTAAATGTGACACCAGACTCGGGTATCCAGGCAGCTGCCACCCCTGTAGATCCGCCCCTGCAGCCTACAGTGACACACTGATCATTTCTCTAACACTTTTACATTTTGCTGCTTGCACTTATTTTTACTTTTACTAGTAGAGGAGTGTTTAACATGATGTACTGCTACGTTTACTTGAGTGAAGGAGCTGAATATACCGTTTCTGTGTTTCTGTTTTCACCTTTGTGAACTTCACTTCACACACTAACATACAGATAACGTTGGTCTGGCTCAGCTTGTGAGAAACTAAACAGATAAATCAAACATGAAGGAACTATTTTTACAGACGAGGAAAACTCTTCTGAAAGAGCTTCTTTTGTCCTCATCCGTCTTTTTTCTTTTTTTTATGGTGTCAGTAAACTCATCGTACCCATAAATGGCGTCTTTGTCCCTCTTGACGGCGTCCCCAGCTGTGGCAGCCATGCTGCCGCTGCTGTGGTTGGACTGGGCGTACTGGTGTGGAGGGTAGGGGCCAGCAGCAGCGGCAGCAGCCAGGTGCACGGCCTGCAGGGAGCGGGCTGCAGCGGCATGGTGGTGGTGATGGTGGTGAGGGTCTCCGTACACCCCACCCACCCCCTCCAGCCCGTAGTGGGCCAGGTCTTCATACTGAAACACAAAGATAAGAGTGGTGTGACCCTTGACCTCTCGGGCTGTCCTGCAGGAGCTGTTCGCTGACCTCAGCGGAGGTCAGAACGCCCCGAAAGTGACCGATGAATGTGGGAAAACAAACTGAGCTCAGGGTTTATGAGCAGGGATGTTCTAATAAATACTAAAAGTGAATAAAAAGACACAAACTGACAGAACAATTTCAGAAAAAGAAACTTTTCCATGTATGTAAAACTGCAGATACACCCAAATATCATTTGATAGCTAAAATACAATTAAATAATGAAATCGAATAGAAAAAATCTGAAAAATTAAAACTGATTATAGGCTACAGGTGTTCCTGTTATTATGTCCACCCCCTGTTTATTTTCTCTCACGTGACAAAAACTGAGACGTTTTGGCAAAATAATATGTTTTAAACCTTTAAAAACACCCAGTGTGAGTTTAAAAACCATATTATTACAATCATCAGATAAAAACTTAATAATACAAATAAAACAGTGCGTTGACTTTATGAATAAAAGAAACACCCTGAGCAGGAGAATGATGTAAACAATGTTTTCTATAAAATAACATTGAACAACATATTAAGACGTCTCCGACAACCGAAACTCTGTTAGAAACTATTTGCTGCATTGTGCAGGTGTTCCTATTATTTTGTCCACCCCGTGTTTATTGTGTCTAACTCGATCAACGCTGTGATGTTGAGGAAAAACTAAGAGTTGTTTAAACATTTTAAAACATCCAGTTGGTGAAATGAAACAAGGGCAAAACTAAAACTCAATTTTCAAATAAAATTTAAATGAAAAGTTAATTAAAAATGTAAATTAAATGTTTAAATGTAAAAATGAGCCTGGAACAGAATATTTTCCACTGGGAATTCTCTGTGTTTGTATTTTATTTTATATATGTATATGTATGCATATGTATATATGTAGAGAGGGGTGGACAAAATGACATGAACACTGTAAAAACATGCAGAATGCAATAAAACAACTATTAATTTAAAACAAGGCGTCTCTGACAAACAGTTAAATAATATTAGACTGTATATATATTCTATATTATTCAATTTCCATAATATTCATGAATTGCCCCTCCCTTTGTACATTTTCTCAATTATTGGATAAACTATGACTTCACTCTGGAATGAAAACAAGTTTGAATGCGGCCAAACTGAACACAAGTCTATAATATGTAATATAAGAATATAATAAAGTTTATATGTTGACTTTATATTATCTGTATCTATATCTTTATATATCTGTCTCTATATGTTTATATATCTGTAT